TCTATCTATCTATCTATCTATCTATCTATCTATCTATCTATCTATCTATCCACACACACACACACACACACACACACACACACACACACACACACACACATATATATATATATATATTTAGTTGAATGGATATGAGTTTGTGACAGTTGCTTTCACGCTTATGCGATCCTGCGTTGAGAACCATTTTGCACTACACATATATTCATCCATTACACACACATATACACGCGCGCGCGAACACACCTACACACACACACAAAAAAATATATATATACAAACATACACAAACACATGCACAAAGACACACAAACATACATACATCCCCCACACAGAATTTAAAAAAAAACTCTATCACTGATATTGAGCGCTTTCCAATAAGCACCGTACATATATATATATATATATAAGAGAGAGAGAGAGAGAGAGAGAGAGAGAGAGAGAGAGAGAGAGAGAGAGAGACTGAGTAGGAGAGAGTGAGAGTGAAGCAGAAATGCCTCCCACATATAGCTCAAAGAAATACCACCCACATAATGGTAAGGCATTAGCCCGATGAAGAAACCATTGCTACAAATGTCTTACTATCATGTGGGAAGTATTTGTAGGAAGTATATGTGGGAGGTATTTCTGCTGGACCCTGTATATGTGTGTGCGCGTGTGTGTGTGTGGAGGGGTTGTGTGTGTATGTATGTATGTCAGTGTGTGTGTTTGTGTGTATATATGTATGTATGTGTGTGCGTGTATGTTCGCGCGTGTATGTTCGCGCGTGTGTACGCGTGTGTGTGTGTGTGTGTGTAATGGATGAATATATGTGTAGTGTAAAATGTTTCTCAACGCGGGAATGTGGAATCGACGAGTCGATTTCAAATTCCAGTCGATTCGGTTTCGTTTATTGGAAAAGGCATGGATCCTTCCTCCTCTAGCTATTGGTTAAATAACAGGGATGACTGCACTTTCTTGCCTTCGATGGTAACCAATCTAGGAGAAAGGAAACTAAATTCAGTCCTATGTTTCTATGTTCATCATTTCTATGTTTTCCTCCGATGTGTGGCTGGATTTACACGCGCTTTCACCATTACAATGAAATCATCTATGTGTATGTAGTTTAGTATCAGGTCATCCCATAAGTTCTGTCCGAATTTTGAATAAAGAAAACAAATGACCAAATGTTACATTTAATTACAGATTCAATCAACAATGTATTTTCCCTGATTATCTATGACTTCCTTCCATCTATTAACAAGCTTACTAATTCCATTACTCTAAAATTATTTTGGCTTTGATTCGAAGAACTCACAAATGTCAGTTTTAACCTCTTCCTGTGTTACAAAAGCTGTTTCTTCCAAATGATTCTGTAAGTCACAAAACAAATGGTAGTCTGAAGGAGAAAGATCGGGAGAATAAGGTGGATGAGGAATTTTCTCCCAACCAAGTTCTTCGATCTTTTGTGACATGATTCTTGCTGTGTGGGGTTCGCGCACTGTCCTGATGAAACATCACCTCTTTTCGATTCACTAGAGCAGGTCTTTTTTTCCTCAAAGCTTGGTTCAAACGCTCTAATTGCTGACAGTATATTTGAGCATTAATTGTTGCATTAGGTGGTAAGAATTCAAAGTGGATTATTCCTTGGTGATCCCACCAGATTGAAAGAAGAACCTTTTGCCCATGAAGTTCGCTTCTAGGCTGTGGCTGGGGTCCTTCCCTTTTACCAAGCCACTGTCTACGACGCTTAACATTTCGATAAAAGAGCCAGTTACAAGTCTATTCAAAAAAGGTGAAACAAGTTGGCGAGAAGAGCAGATGTCAACTCGGGATTTGAGGTTGTTTTCAGACAATTCATGAGGCACCCATTTTCCAAGTTTAGGAACTTTTCAAAGTTGTTGAAGATGACGATGAACAGTTGTATGGTTTGAACTGAGAACCACTGCCAATTCCTCAACTGATAAAGCAGGATTTTCTTCAAGGGCTGCTTCAAGAAGCTTTTCATCAAACTCAACTGGATGTCCGGTTCGATCTTCATCTTCAAGGGTGAAATCTCCACCTCTGAATTTTGCAAACCATCTTCTGCAAGTTCTTTCATTCACACATTCCTCTCCATAAACTGAGTGAATGTTTCTTGCCGCTTCAGCTGCTGAGTTCCCTTTCTTGAACTCATAAAGCATTATGTGCCTCAAATGATTCTTGGGTACTTCCATGTTAGCAGGGTTTTAATCAAACAAAATTTAATTTTATTGTTCTCTGAATTAATATTTGATCAGTTTAAATGCATCTAAACATAAAAATAATGTTCAGCACCATTAGACATTATAAAACACTCTTTAAATTTCTTTCATTTTAACAAAAAGTTAAAATTCAGACAGAACTTAGGGGATGACCTGATAGTTAAGTTCTAATCTGAATCGTTTCATCCTTATAAATCGAAACGAAAGCACTGCCCACAACATAAAAAGACACACACACACACACACACACACACATATATATATATATATGTGTGTTCTCCGACAGGAATCGAACCTGTATCCTACACGGAACCATCATATATCCTGACGTGATCTATCATTTAGCCACGGAGTTAGCGTCCGGTTAACAAGGCTAAATTACTGCTTTTAAACTACAAATTTCCAATGACTTAAAAGCAGTAATTCAACCTTGCTAACCATACGCTTCCTCTGTAACTAAATAGTATAGCACGTTTGACTGTATGTCGCTTCCGTGTATGATACAAGTTCGATTCCTGTTGGAGTACGCATATTTTCTACGAAATTTTTTGTACATTCAGGCCGGTAAATATTGTTAATATTGTTTATTATAAACAGAGTATTCACTTAAATATTTGTATCTATTTAATTAACGTATAAATAAATATATTAAAATAATTGTCCGACTTACTCTATTTCATAATATATATATATATATATATATATATATATATATATATGTGTAACCCGGATATAAGAGAATTGTCGGGACCGGAGAAGTCTCTTATATCCGGATTTGGTCTATTTTATATACATTAACACAGGCTCTAATTTGGGACCAAAGAAAACCTCTCTTATATCCGGGTTTCTCTTATATCCGGGTTTCTCTTATATCCGGGTCTCTTATATCCGGGTTACACTGTGTCGCAAAATGATCTGACACATTTTAGGTTTAATAAAAGCGAAATAGAGTAAGGAACGAAAAATGTATTTTCATTTTTGAAATGTACATACAATGTTATTTTATTTAATTTTGTTTTAAGTTTCCTAACATGAACTGGATGGGCTGGCATCGTGCTTTCATTGTGGGGACGTTTATCAAGAACAATGAATCTGTAACTAATACAAAGAGCGTTATCTCGCCCGATCACGGGATTTGAATCCCTTCGATTTTTTTTTTCTGTGAAGATAGCAGAAATCATCGCCCTCGATCTATTGAACAATCAAAATGTGCCATTTGTCAAGAAATTGCTGCCATTCCACATAAAATGACCCGTTGAGTTATGGACAACTTTCGTGAACGCCTTCGACAGTGTGTGGAAAGTAACGGTACTCACTTGACTGAGTTAATTTTTAAAACGAAATGAAACAAAATGGCATTATATGTACATTTCGAAAATAAAAACACATTTTTCGTTCTTTACGCTATTTCGCTTTTATTAAAACAAATTACAAATTTTATCAGATCATTTTACCGCACCCTATATATATATATATATATATATATATATATATATATATATATATATATATATATATATATATATATATATATATATAATATATATTATAAAATGTGAAATGGACAAAGTCCGACAATTATTGTTATGGTATTTTTTTTATGGAGCGTTTAAAAGCAGTAAAATTTCCCTTGTTAACCGAGATGCTCCTCTGTGGCCAAATCGGTAAAAAGGCACATTGGGCTATATGACGGTTCCGATAGGATACTGGTTCGATTCCTGTTGGAGAAAACATATTTACTATTAAAATTTCTCGGACATTCAGGTCGTTAATACTGCTTATTATAAACAGAACATTTATTTTAATATTTGTATCTATAAAAAGAACGTATAAACATAAAAATATGTTATTACGCAAATGACTTTTAATTAATTTTTATCTTATATATATATATATATATATATATATATATATATATATAATTTCAGTTGAGCTCTCTGGGGACGAGGTGTGGGTTGTAAACAGTGACTATTATAGCTATATGGCGAGACTATTCGCAGATGCGAATTGAGTCACTGTTGGTCACTGGGCGTGTTTGTAAAAATAAATACGCTAAAAAATTCAAAGTCATTTATTTTTACAATAATTTAATTAAATTAATACAATAATAATTCATAGAAAACAATAACTTATGCAATAATTTTATAGAATAATTTTATATAATAATATAAATATAATTATAATTTTATATCATAATATAATAATAATTTATACAAGAATTTATACAATAATTTTATACAGTAAGCCAATAATAATTCATATAACAATACAATACTAACTTATAGAATGCAATAATAAGTTATATAATAATTTATTAATGACAACATGGAACAATTTTTTGTGTGACGTGTTTCGTCCTTAGGGACTTCATCAGACTTAACGAAAGGACGAAACGAGTCATACGAAAAAATGTTTTCCACTTTGTCATTAGTTTGCCTAACATTTTTCGGGTATATAAATATTATATATAATTTTTACCATAATTTATACAATATTTTCATACAATAATAATTTTTAGAATTGCTCGATTCGTTTTTAAAGATACACTTATCAACATTTCGCAAGTTATTTAAAGCCAAAAAATATTTTTAGATTGTAAGAATTATTTTTGGAAAAATAATAATTTAGTGATATAATTTCTAATAATTAACCCATAATTGGGGGAGAAGAGGTGTTCATGCCTTAATACTTGCGCGTATAGCAAACCAAACTGGAATTTGAACTCGGTTCTCTTTTGAACAAATCCGAGCCGTTATCTACTACACCATCCTCACATCCAAGCTTACAGCACCTGGTATTCCGAAGCGGTCACACATCTAGGTTCTGACCAGGTGCCACGTTGCTTAACTTCAGTGGTCGTACGAGAACCAGTATTTCAACCTGATATAGCTGTAAGCCCGTTATTCTAACCACACAACCAAGCTTACAGTACCTGGTATTCCCAAACAGTCACCCATCCAGGTACTGACCAGGCTCGACGTGTTGCTTATCTTCGTTGATCGTACGAGAACCGGTATTTCAACGTGATGTGGCCGTAAGTCAATATTCTTTAGAATCAATAATAATTTATGCAATATGGCAATAATAATTTTATACAATAATTTACCATATAATAAGGCAATAGCAATTCATATGATAACAGAGTAATAATAATATCGACAATAATTTATAATGTAATTTAGAGAGTTGAGATTACATAAAAACTAACTTGTCTGTTTTTTATTGTGTAAATGTTAATTAACTTTTTGAAAGTCTAGATATACATACTAAGACAAGGGTTCGTCTATTGACTTGTGTATATATTTTGTAGAGTAGCTAGCAACCCTTCAGTACTCTACCAGATGGCCTGGCTTATAGCCTTAAATAGTCTATGATTAAGGACTTCAACAGTTGATTAATAAGTTGATACTAAGCTGATTAATATTTGAACTGATCTTCGTTTGGCTATACAGCATTTGACCCTCCTTTATTCCTTGTAAGTTGTCTTTTTAATTGTTTTGTAACTTACTGTTCTGTGTTTTTGTATGTATCCGTTAGCCCCAGATACTGGTGCTGAATAAATATATTAAGCATTCATTCTTCTCTGTGTATCATTCACCTTGACAATACAACATTCCTCCCCGGTCTTTTGAAAAAGAGTAGAGGTTTATCTTTTGTTTCTTGTTTAGGATTGTGTTTCCGGTTCCTTCTAAAGTCTACTTCAACTCTATACTTCTAACGTCTAAACGCTAAAATGTTATTCACTGATTTTTTTTTTTTTATTATTGCCATATTGCATAAATTATTATTGATTCTAAAGAATATTGACTTACGGCCACATCATGTTGAAATACCGGTTTTTTTACTTTATTAATGACACCGAAGTGGCGGCCATAACACGTGAGAGTTTATTCAGATCTTTTCGATAGAGTGCAGAAAAGTTTCCAAAACTCTAACCAAATAACTGACTATCAAACTTTACTTTCGAATTTTTTTTAAAAACAAATGTTCACCCAGTACAAGGTCCAAGAGACATTCAAGTTAGAGTGTTACTGTGTGGTGTTGTATAAGTGTAAAAAAAGGGCAAGATAACAGCTAACTCTAGACTTGAAGAGGTCAAGATTTAATTAGTGAATGAAATTTCAAAGCTCTGTCGGAGACGTTAGGAGTACAGAGTTGAAGTAGACTTTAGGAGGAACTCGAAACCCAATCGTAAACAAGAAACAATGGATAAACCTCTACTCCTGTTCAAAAAACCGGGAAGGAGTATGAATTGGACGACAGAATAACCTATTTACTACTATTGAGAGTAAAGTAAAAAAAAAAAAAAATCAGTGAATAACATTTTAGCGTTTATGTGGAGACGTTAGAAGTATAGAGTTGAAGTAGACTTTAGAAGGGACCGGAAACACAGTCCTAAACAAGAAACAAAAGATAAACCTCTACTCTTTTTCAAAAGACCGGGGAGGAATGTGAACCAGACGATAGATGAACCTATCTGCTCCTAATGGAAGAGAAGAATATATATATATATATATATATATATATATATATATATATATATATATATTATTTACATTATTCGGACTATTGTCCTCATCTTTGTCGCCATATTTATCACAACGTTTCGGGCGTTGTACGCTCCGGCCTTCTTCAGGTGGTTGGAATTTCGAACTGAACCCTTTATTTCCCCTGAAGAAAGCCGGAGCGTACAACGGCCGAAACGTTTTGATAAATATGGCGCTAAAGATGAGGACAATAGTCCGAATAATGTAAATAATGTACATAATACCTCATCTCAGAAATATAGACACACACACACACATATATATATATATATATATATATATACCAAAATTTTCAACAAAATCCAGAGAAGGGTCTGTAATGATTAAGACACATGTTTTTCATATATAACTTAATTTTTACAATATTTGAAACTAGTAATTCATTAATTTTTATGTTAGTTTTAGTTTTAGTCAATAATATACTCTTAACTAATGTTGAAAACATGATGATATGGAATCATTAAAATAAAAAACCTTTAGATATTTTATGTAACAGTTGAAGATTTTAGAAACATGAAAAACTTTTTTTTTCTTTTTTTTTTCCTACTTTAGTAATGTTCACCCAATACAAGACTCAAGAGAAACTCAAGGTAGAGGGTTACTGTGTGACATTGCATGAGCATAAGAAAAGGCAAGAAGTGAAGTTCTTGGAGTTATGCTAACTCTAGACTTGAAGAGGTCAAGATTTAATTAGTCAATAACATTTCAAAGTTCAGTTGGAGATCTTAGAAGTATAGTATAGAAGTCGACTTTAGAAGGAACTGGAAACCCAATTGTAAACAGGAAACAAAAGATAAACCTCTACTCCTGTTCAAAAGACCGGGGAGGAGTGTGAACTGAACAATAGGTGTAGAAATGGCAACCTACTGCAGGAAAATCTGCATAGTCAGTCGTGAACAGAAACAGATATGATTACCCAAGCACATATCATATGTGGCACTTAACTGACTGATTAAGACACATGTCTTTCATATATAACTTCATTTTTACAATATTTGAAACTAGTAATTCATTAATTTTTATGTTAGTTTTAGTCAATAATATAATCTTAACTAATGTTGAAAACATGATATGGAATCATTAAAATAAAACACCTTTTGATATTTTATGTAACAGTTGAAGATTTTAGATACATGAAAAACTTTTTTTTTTACTTTATTAATATTCACCCAAAATATGACCCAAGAGCAACTCAAGGCAGAGGGTTTCTGTGCGATATTGCATGAGCATAAGAAAGAGCAAGAAGTGAAGTTCTTAGAATTATGCTAACTCTAGACTTGAAGAGGTCAAGTTTTAATTAGTGAATAACATTTCAGAATTCAGTTGGAGACATTAGAAATATAGTGTGTTAATAGATTTTAAAAAGAACCGAGAACTCAATTCTGAACAGAAAACAAGGAATAACTCTCTACGCCTGTGCAAAAGACCAGGAAGAAGCGTGAACTGGGCGATAGGCAAACCCATTCTTTACAACACCCAATCAGATAGGTATGCATATGTATCTGTTCCTCCCCCCCCCCCTTACATATCTTCGCCTGTATATGTGTCTGGTTTACACTTGCGTAATTATATCTTTCTGTTTCTTCATTAATCACCTGACCAAACTTAATTCCAGAGAATTGCATCGCTTATCAGGTATGGGGGAATGGTTTTTATATTAAAGTAGCATCTACCGTCCATAACTGAAAATATATCTTACTCACAGCGACGGCCCAGGAGGAGTTTGACCGCCAATGACAAAATGGTGCTCACCACGAAGATACCGTCAATTGATGCTGTGCGTAAGTCATAACGGGAACGTATAAGTGGGAAATAGAGCTGAAGAGTTGGGTGGGAGGGTGTAACGTAAGAAACTGCAGCACCTAGTGGGTGGGTGGGGGTTTCGGTACGAGTGGCAAGTCTAAGAGAATTGCTTTACCGTTTCACCTTCGGGTACGGGGTTTCGTATGTGCTTTACATCAGTTTTCTGATTGGAAAATCAAATTTTTTATTGGTTGCGAACGTCCGTCATTTGGTCTTGTCCCTGTCTTCGGGATTTCTTTGGGAATCCGACCAGATCGAATATTACGCGCCAACTCGTCAAACGTGTAATCGGATGCTGACAGATCAGTGTTTCATAATTGAATCTGCGGTAGATTTAGTGATGGGCCGTGGTAGTAGGCGTGTGGTGCTGGTGTGGATAGACGTTGATAACTGCCACGGTTGGAGTCTTTAAGTTGTGGTTGGTAAAGAAATGGGACGTCTTGAGATGAGTCGGTCGAGGCTGTTGTAAGCGAGAGATTAGTAAGCTGGCGATAATCGGCGACGCGGGCGAAGGAATATGAAGAAAACAGATTGGCTGGCGTGTAAATTAGGCAGATCTGTTCATTCTTTTATGAAAATAGAGCCGCAGAATCGAAAAGCGATAGGAAGCGTTCAGGGAGAAAGAATGAATGATAGACAAAGGAAAGAGAATGAGTGAAAGGAAAAAAAGAGATTGGACGAGGAAACGCGAAAGAGAAACGAGGTAAGTGAAATAAAAGAAAAGAGGAAAGAGAAGGTGGAAAGGGGGTAAAGAGAAATATGCAGAATAAAGATAGAGAGAAAGAAAGAGAGAGAAAGAGGGGGGAAAGAAGGGGAGAGACAGAAAAAGAAAGAGAAAGAGTAAAATAAGATAGTTAACGAAAAGGAAGAAGGAGAAATAAAATTCTGGCTGTAGACTGGAGGAAGAGGGGGAAAAAGGAAGAGGAGGAAGAGGAAGAGGAGATAAAGAAGATGTGAAAGGAAAAGAGAGATTGAAGAAAACAACGAGAAAGAGAAAAAAAGTAAAATGAAAGAAAGGAGGAAAGAGAAGGTGGAAGAGAGTAAATAGGAAGATAGCGAATAATGACAGAGAGAGGAGGGAAGAGACGGAAAGAAAGAGAGTGTAGAAAAAGATAGCCAAAAGGAAGGAGAAGAAATAGAATTCGGTCTATAGAGAGAAGAAGAAAAAGAAGTAGTAGTAGTAGTAGCAACAGCAGTAGAAGAAGAAGAAGAAGAAGAAGAAGAAGAAGGAGAAGAAGAAAGGACGGTTTTATAATAAAAAGAGAGATTTGGAAAGAAAGAAATACGTTTCAAGTAAAGTACGAGTTTTTAAAAGGAATGTGGAACAATGAACAAGAAAGGGAAAATAAAGAGGAAAATATGAAAGAAAGAAGGTAAAAATTATATGACAGATACGTAAGAGGAGGCGATAGAGATTAAAAAGAAATTGGATATAGCAATAGAAAGTGAAACACAGAGAGAAGGAAAGAAGAGGGATAAAAAAAGACAAGGCGAGAATAAGAAGAGAGGAAGAGAGATGACAAGAAAAAGAAAAGGAAGAAAGAAGCTGAAAGTAAAAAGAAAGAAAGAAAAAAAAAACTTCAGAATGAAAAACGCCATCGGCTGAAAATCAAGTGGCAGAAAAGTCAGATGACAAGAAAGAGAAGGATAGAAATAAAGAAGAAATGAAAGTATGAGTGGAAAGAAGA